AAATCCCAACAGTATGTTTCAAAGAAAGAGAAGCAGATTTTCAAATTTGTATGGGGTCGCAAGTGTCCTGAAATCTGAGCTCAGGTCCTATACTTTGGCCTCAGATCTGCGCCTGTTCTCTGGGACCAACCTGTCTCTATTCATCCTCAGTGTAGGATGCAGGCTTTGTCCCATTTTCTCTCGTTCCTTTTCACAAGGAGAGCAGGTGTTATGTCTCTCATGAGCACCCAGAACGGCTGGGTCTCCCTGGGTAACACCATCATCACTGCTGCACATGGGCCAGCCAACATCCTGCATGCCCAGCACCCTGCAGTGTTGATCTCCTTCCCATGATAGCTCCCGGCTCAGCACTTGACATGAACAGCATCTGCTCATTTCCAGGTGCAGAGATCTTTGTGGAAGGAAGCACCCCAACCTTGAGACCACAGCTCAGGCCTTCACCTGCACTCAAGGAACCTGTGTAGAACAGGGCTCTGGGTATTTGTTGGCAAAAGAAATTGTTAAGGATGTATTTTCACAATCTCCAAGCAAGTGGGGTGCCGAAGTGGGGGTCAGTGCCCATCAGCAACATAGGGAGGGCTTCTGCTGTAGACAGACTCAGGCTGAAACGCTGATCTGGGTTTAGGTGTGGTGGGGGAGGCAAGGAGATACTGCACAACCAGATGGCAGGATGAGTCACTTTATTCCCTGAGCAAAGGGCCCAGCAGCAGGCACGTGGAGCTGAAGCCTGGTGGGACTGAGGTGGCCAGGCCAGGGCACCCGCTTAGAAGAAGAGCCCCTGTGACAGCCCGTACAACAGTGCCAGGGGTCGAGGACCGCAGTTCTGCTCCTGGCTGACACAGGGAGGGGGCCAGGTTTAGGGAACACAGCGGAGGTCACTCCCGAGCAGGAAATCGGGGTAAACATGCAGGGAGGGGACTGCCCAGGGTTGGCACTCACCCCGCGCCCTGGGATGAGTCAAGGGGTACAGGACAGTGTGCAGGACCCATGCGCTTGCAGACAAAGCCTCAGTTTTATCGCAAGCCTGATGTCCCTGCTGTCCATGCCACTCCTATCTGCACCCTTCGCACTCCCTAGGCTTCTCTCAGTATGAGTCCCAGCCCTAGGTCTGGTCTCCATGGAGCCCTGACCTCCTCAGGAAGCAACAGAAGGCTGGTGATGGTGACCCGCTGTGGCCAGCTGAGGGGCGATCTGGGCATCAGTCTCAACAGGCCGGAGCTCAGGGCCAGCCCAGTTCCACTCCACTACTTCAGCTTGGGGAATAGGCCTGGGGCTGTGCTCATGAGCTACTTCATAGACTCACTGCCTGTGAACACGAGACTTACGAGGACTCATAACATTGCACTGAAAATAACAAGGATATAACTGAAAAACGCGCATCATACCAAGAAGCAGGCAAACGTTATCTTGAACAAGACAGAAAACAAAAAGACCCCAAGACCAAGGTGACACAGATGTTGGAATTATTTGATGTGCACTTTTAAAACAGACATCATAAAAACGCTTCAGTCGACAGGCAATCACAAACAAGGCTGAAACAGCGGAAGAGTGGAACACTTCAGGGAGGCAACCGAAGTTAGAAAGGAGTAAGTGGAGGAAAAACAGTAACAGAACCTTTTTAAGCTCAGTGGGCTCAGGTGGAGAATGGAAGGCGGAAGGAAGAAAGTATGAAGATGGAGCGTCTGAGGAGACAGGATTCTCAGAAAAGAACCCCAGGAACGGACGGAGCCACGGCACTGTGTGCCGCTGGAATCCCAGAGGGAGGCAGGAAGGAGTGGGCTGGGGAGATATCTGACCGAGTCATGGCCAGCTGTTTCAATTTGGCAGCCCCTCCCCACTTACAGATTTAAGAATCAAGCAAAACTCAGACAGGTTGAACTCCAAGAAATCCACACCAAGCAAGACACGGGAATAAACAGCAATCTGATGCCTGTCCCTAACTGTGTGCTGAGCCAATGACCCATGTGTGACGGCCTGGGAGCTGCTCCGTGCGTCCCGCGGTGACCCCACAGCAGTAGCAGCAGCGTCTCCAGGAAGAGACCCTTCCCACCCTGCCCCGCAAGTCGAGAAGAGCCCTCGCGCCCCCGTCACCCCACCCCGAACTCAAGCCTCCCAGGCTCCGGCTCAGCACCCACGAGGAACTGAGTATCGTTCCAGCCTCCTGGTCAGGGTAAGTCTGTGCAAGGGCTGAGTGGCGCAGGAGAGCACATCAGTACCAAAGCATGAAAAACTAAAGGCAAAGGAGACCACGAGAGCGAGCAGAGGAGGTGACAACAGGCGAGGAGGCAGACCCAGCACCCACGACAGGCTCCCTTAGGGCTGGGAAGCCCGAGCAAGAGCCATAGGGTTTTTAAGTGCTAAGAAAAGAGCACTGTCAAGCTAGAATTCTACGTTCAGTAAAATATCTTTAGGGCATGGAGTGGAAATCAAGACTATCAGATGAAGAAAAATCAAGAATTTTTTTTTTCCAAAACCTTCATCAACAGAACCTCCAGAGAATAACTAAAGAAATTCTTGATAGGAAAGAAAAAATTGCTAAACCCTGGAATATCTCAAAGAAAGAAGGAACAAAAATAAAAATATGGGTAGATACAATACACAGTCCTCTTAATTTTCCTAAATTATGTTTGATGGTTCAAGCAAATGACATTTTTAAGATTATCTTATTATAAACAAGAGAGGTGAGTGGACCCTAGGGGTAGTTTCCACACTCAAACTGGTAAAAAGTGATTTTTAAAATGTGGAGGACTTACTATAATAAATCATGTACACGTAAGGTAATTCTTAAACATTTAAACTATACAATAAGATATACTGGAAAACACTTGATATACCAAAGTGGAATTCTAAAAACTGTTTAGGTTGACCTAAGAAGATAGAAAAAAATCAGGGAAACAGAAAACAGAAAAAATAAACAGAAAACCAAAAATGTTACAACAGATTTAAACTCTAAAACGTTCATGATTGCACTATATATAAACGCTTTAAATAAACTAATCCAGGCATAGTTGTTTCAATACCTAACCCAGCTATATTCTAGCTGCAAAAATTCACTTCTAATATATCAAGAGGAAGGTTTCAAGTAAGAGGTTCATGAAAGACATGTTGTTCCAGCATTAATCAAAAGAAAGCAGGCGTGGCTATGTTAATGTCAGGTAAATTGGACTCTGGAGCAAAGGAGATTACCAGAGACAGAGGGACATTATGTAATGACAAAGGGATAACTCAACCAAGAAAACAGACCAACCTAACCGCTAAAAAACATATGGATTAAAGGTGATAGGTTTGAAAACAGAGATATGGTTGCACACTCCAACACAGCTCTCAACAAATCATACAACAGCCATTCAAGAAATAAGCAAGGCAGAGCCAGGTGCAGTGGCCCACACCACTTGGGCCAGTACTTGGGAGGCTAAGGCAGGGGGGTTGCAGGTTAGAGTCCCACTTGGGCAACTTCATGAGATCCTGTCTCACAATTTAAAAAATTATTTTAAATGGCTGGAGAGTCCCACTCTGTGTGAAGGTTCTGGGTTTAATCTCCAATACTGGGGGGAAAATCAGCTAGAAGATAGAGGAAACTCAATACCACCAACCAACAGCATCTGACATTTAGTGAACACGTCCCCCAGCTACAGCTGAAATACACACACCTACACATCCACAGAACAACTTCCAAGGTGGGCTGTGTCTGGGTTTTAAAATCCTGAGCAAACTTAGAAGAAGGGAAGCCATACAGGCTTCCAGCTACAGTGGATTCAAACTTAAAAAATGACAAAGATTACAAGAAAATCGCCAACACATGGAAACTAAAAAAGAGCAGAGCTGTCAAGCCAATGGTGGAAAATTCCATCTTAAGAACTAGACACAGAGGAAAGTAAACCCCAGGCATGCAGAAGGGAAGACATAAAAAAGGGGGCACAAATCAATAACGCTGAACAAACTGAGAAACCCACGAAACGGCAACCAATAAACTGATGAACACCTAGCAAAATGGGCAAGGAAAAGAAGACACCAATCATCAGGTTCAGGAAAGAGATGGAGATAACAGCCAGACTCAGTGCGGATCAGAAAATAACAAGCAAATCTGACACACAGGTTCAGAGCTCCAGCAAAAGGGACCAAGCACTCTGTTCATGAAGTAGATCATTTGAATCATTTGTAACCATTAGAGGGATTGAATTTATAATTTTAAAGCTCCCAAGAAGGAAATCTTCAGTCCTAGATTGTTTCACTGCATAATTCCGTAAACATTTAGGGAAGAATTAATACCAAGTCTACACGATCTTTTCTAGGAAATAGAAAAGAAGGTCCCTCTTCTTAACTGTTTTTTTTTTTTTTCCTTGAAATAGGGTCTCACTGTGTAGCCCAGGCTGGCCTCAAAGTCATAGCCATCCTCCTGCCTCAGCCTCCCCAGCACTGGGATCACAGGTGTGTGCCACCACACTCAGCCCTCAGCAACGTGTTTTATGAACCAAGAATCACACTTAACCTGAGAAAGATAATATAGGAAACAAAAAACTATAGGCTATCATCCCTGCCTAACAGAGATGGGAAAATCTGCAACAAAACATTGGCTGGAGGCATTTGGCAAATCATAAAAAGAATCACAAACCATGACCAAGTATGGCTTGTTCCAGGGATGAAAGATTGGTTCAATACCTGAAAATTAATCATATGATACACCGTGTCAGCATGCTGAGGAAGGAAAGGTAGAGGAGCACATCAACTGACACAGAATAAATAGCATTTGAAAAGTCAACCCCTAGGCGCGACGAAACACTCAAAAAAGAATGAACTTGATAGACAACATCTACATAAACCTGGAGCTAACATTTACATCATGGAGAAAGACTGAGTGCTTTTCTCCAAAAACCAGAAACAAGGCCAGGAGGCCCCTCGCATCACTGCATTCCAGATAACACAGGACACTCCAGTAGTGCACCAGGCCACAAGGTGTGGGGCAGGTAGGCAGACAGGAGGGGAAAGTAAAACTCTCTTACCTGTGGGTAGCATGGTTGTCCATGTAGAAAATTCCAAGACATCTACAAAAAGAAAACAAAACAAATAAAACCCTGGAACTAATAATTGAGTTCAGCAGGTTGCAGAATATTGATTTTTTTTACATATTCAAAAATCAGTTATACTTTTATATACTAACAATGAACACATCAAAAAGGAAATAAAAATAAATCCCATTTATAAAAGCATTAAAAAGTTAGGCACGGGCTGGGGATTTAGCTCAGTGGTTTCGCCACCCACCTCTCAAGCACAAGGACCTGAGTTCGATCCTCGGTACCAAAAAAAAAAAAAAGTTAGGAGTTAAACCTAGGATGAAATCCACACAGCCCTGATAAAGGAAACCAAAGCTCTGACTGGATAGACACACACATGCATGGACTGCAAGACAACACAGGGGGCTGGACAGGCTCCCCAGACTGATACGTGTCTTGCACAACTCCTATCAAAAGTGCAGCATGTTCTGTTTCATGGACATGGGCAGGGTTATTCTAAAATTTGTGTGGAAATGCAAAGGAACCAGCACAGCTAAAACAGCTTTGAAAAGTAAAATGAGTGGATTCAACGTAGTCTATTTCATGACTTCTAACATAGCTGCAGTGAACGAAACTGGCAAAACTGCGGTAGAAGAAAACAAACATTAACGCGCATCACAGAATGGGGTTCCCAGAGTCAGACCTACACCAGACATTGACTGACTTTTGGCAAAAAAATGGAAAAATCAATCTAATGCAAAGAGAAAGTATTTTCAAAAATGGTGCTGGAGCAACTGGACAACTATGGGGAGAAAAACCAGACACAAAACAGCAATAAGAAAACACCTCCTCCCCGCAAAATGCAAACAGGCATGGTGATGCACGTCTGGAACCCTAGCACTCTGGGAGTCTGAGGAACGGGACTGCAAGTCTGAGCCCGACCTGGGCAATTTAGAGATGTAGTGAGACCTGTCTCAAGACAAAAACAAACCCACACATACATAAATCTTTTAAAAGAGCAAAAATACATTGATGAAAACATCACTCCTTAAAAATTAATTCAAATTGAGCATGGCGTTTATTTAAATGTAAAGCTACAGGAAGCATGGGAGACAATCTTCAGGACCTAAGGCGTGTTCAAAAGTTTTTGGACACAACACACAATCCACAAAACAAATGTTAGATACTTTAGACTTTGTCAAAGATAAAGTCAAAGAGCTGGGTGTCGTGGTGCTCACCTGTAATCCCAGGAAGCTGAGGCCGGAGATTGCTGGTGTACAAGACCAGCCTGAACTATATAGTGAGACCCTATTTCCAAAAACCAAATAATAAATAAATAAGTAAAAAGAAAAATACAATAAAATCATTTGTTCTGTTAAGGATCCTGCTAAGAGGATGAAAGACGAGCTACAAGACAGAACAAATTGCACTTGCAAGCCACACATCTGTAGGGACTTGCATGGGGAATAGAGAAAGACTCTGAAAACTCAACAGTTCAACAACAACAAATGTCCAAATAGTAAAGGGCCAAAAGACAGAGACGGCAGACCAGGGCCTGGATAGACGGCCATGGTCGCCTGAGGGGCTCTCGGCACCCCCGCGGGTCTCATGGGTGCTGGCGGGATGCCAAAGGGGGCCACCACTGTGGCACAGCAGCGGCGCCCTTCTTACAAAGCAGTGCCCTCACCACACTGCCCAGCAGACATCGGCTGGCCGCTTCTGGAGAATCGGAAAGTTCATTCACAAGAAAACCTGGGATCAAACGTTCACAGATGAGGAGGGGGCTGGAGACAAATCATGTGGCCTGGGAACAAATGGGCCCTGAGCCCCACGGACCACAGCAGGGTCTGGCTGTGAGCGGTGAGGACCTGACAAGCATGTCCGCCCAAGCACGACCCTCGGGCTCACAGCGTGGCTCGGGGACTCCACCCCACATGAAGCTCAGACTGGTGGCCCCAGGCTGGGTCCTGCAGGCCACGTCCCTCCCAGCCCAGAGCATCATTCCCACGTTGTAGATCCTCGTGGCTTCTTCTCTGGTGCTGCACACACTGCACTGCACCCAGGGCTGTTTGTTCCAGGGGCACCAGGGTTTCTGCTCTGGTCTTCCCACATTCACTGTTCAGGAGTCCCACTGAGCAGAGCCCAAGCCGCCAGGCCACAGGACGGGCTGGGCAGGGCTCTGTCCACCCCTGAGCCGGCAGCCCAGGACCACGGAGTCTCTGGAAAGGAGGGGCACACAGCACCAACTCTGTCTGCTTCTGCTTTTGTCCAGCAGTGGTCCCTTGCTGGAACTCACACCAGCCACGTGGACAGCACTCAGGACCATGGCCGGTGCAGAGGGATGAGGCAGTGTCACTGACACGTTTCCACAGACGGGCAACATGCTCAGAGTGGGCCACTAGACATGCTCCGGTGCTTTGGAGACCCTGACCCACCATGCACCCTCAGGAGACACCCAGACAGCTGACCTGTCTAGCCCCTTAGGTCCAAGAGTGAGACCCAGGCTGCTCAGTCCACATGGCTGTGGACACAACCTGACCACTGCCCCTCCCACATCAGAGTCACGAGGGGACCTTGCTTCACTCCAAAAGAAGCAGGGTTTTTCTGTTTTGTTTTGGGCAGGGCCTGTGCCCATTTTATTTTTTGAGACAAGATCTTGCTAAGTCACTATGTTGTCCAGGCTGTGATCAAACTTGGATCATCCTGTCAGCCTCCCAGAGTACTTCAGTGATTATTTAACTGTCACACATTTAGCATGAAGCTGAAAGACTCCCCTGTCCCAGAAGGGACTCATCATGTGTCCACTCTGTCCACCCGGGGATAAGCAATGCTGACCAGCAGGCGCACAACTCCACCTCTCCCCCGTGTGTCCTGGACAGATGTTCTCGGAGCTCCCGCCAGGCCTGCACACCTTCCCTGAGTAGCCACGGCCTCCCCCGGGCCCTGTCCACTGCCTCTGTAATTCCCATGTGTCCAGGGACACCAGGCTCTCGCACACGTGCTTCCAGCCTGTCCTTTCTGAGGATGTCTGGCACTGGGCAGACCTTCAAGCTTCAGTTTCCTCCTTCAGACACGCTGAGCAGCCCCTTCAGCCCAGACACCTCCACTGAGATTTCCTGGTTGTGTTACGAGCTGTCTTTATCAGCTTCAGGTTCCTAACAAATCCAGCACATCTTCCCCTGCTGTCATTCACAGGGACCCTCCTCCTTCCCTAGGCTCGTGTCTTCATCACTGCAAGCTGTGCTTTCTACCTCAGAACCAGGGCTCCCACACTATGGCCACTGAGACAGCAGGCTGGTGCTGTGCAGGACAGAGGTGTTCAGGAAGAGCAGTGCCAAGGGTGGCGGTGCCGGCCAGGCCTTGTGTGCCCCATACCACTGATGCTCTTGAGCTGCCTGCCAGGCCGGGCCTCTTCCTGCACAGGAGCCCTGGCCTGGCCCCTCCATCCCAAGATGGCGTCAGCCTGTGCTGCTGGTCTGGGGCTTTGCTCCTGGGTATGACTGCTCTGTCCACTTTAGCTTTCTGCTGTAGTCCAGTCTTGTTTGTGTCTGCAGTAAGGGAGGACAAAGCCAGGTGGGTTCCAGGATCCCACCAAAGCTGTGCCAGGGGCTGGGTGAACGGTGGGTGGAAAGGAGCCTGGAGCTTTGGCAATGGGCCAGGTGACGGGAAGGCCAGGTGCAGCCACACCACTTTTATAACCCCATAATGGTGACATCACTGCAGTGCTACTGCCAGCCAATTACCAGGAGGCTTGCCCATGCTTGGCCCCACCCCAAGCCCTGGGTCACATGGCATGGGCTCTTGCTTGGACCCTGCCCACCTGAGGTCCTGCCCCCCATTTTCTTGGTGACCCTGACTCACACCCTGAGGCTGTAGGGCCTCTCCTGCTGGTTTTGAGCATGGGAGACCTCAGGAAGGAGATAGTGAAGGTCCGCCTCTCAGAGGACAGCGACTGCACTTCAAAGGTTTGGACTACAGGGTCATAGGCTGCCCATCTGGAATATGGAGGTGCTACATCCCTAAACTCACCCACCCTGAGGCCCGGGGGTATCTGCTCCTTTCCAATGCTTGGAACCAGAAGAGACCTCAGCCCTGCTGTCGTTTTCAAGACTTCTGCAGGTTTGTACTTCAGACTGGTCTTGAACTCACTGTGTAGCCCCAGCTGGCCTTGAATTCACAGTGATCCTCCCGGCTCAGCCTCCTAAGTGCTGGGATAATAGGTGTGCACCACAATGCCCAGCTGACCCAGTCAGTGTCAACCTTCATACCTTTCTGAGGGGTCAGTGCTTTCATCATCTCTGTGTTAGCCAGATTCTCATGGCTGAGACAAAATACCTGACACAGCAAGTTGAAGTTTTCGTTCTGGCTTATGGTTTTAGAGGTTCAGTCCATGGCTGCTGGCTGCAGTGCTGCTGGGTTGTGGTGAAGCCAATCATCATGGTGGAGGATGTGCTGGGGCACAGCTGTTCATGCTGTGCTGGCCCAGGGAGCAGCGAGGTCACTGTTATAACAAAGTCACTTCCCTAAGGCCATCAAGCGATGATGCTGCCAATGGTCAAATGTGAGGTCAGCCCCACGGTCCAGCCAGCCATACCCTCCTCTGAAGGCTGCACTGGGACCTGGCCTCCAGCCCTCAGCCATGGGGACTCAGCCCCAAGCTGTTGAGAGTCCATCCTTCAAATCAGCTGTCAGCTGCAACAGCCTAAGGCGCACTCTCCCAGCACCCAGAACGAAGCTCCGTGACCTCAGCTTTTGTTGCCCAGTCAGGTCCCTGTCACAGTGAGAGCTCCTGTGACATCTCCGCTCTGAACTGGCCCATCATTACCCCATTGCCCTCCCACTCCCATGAAGAAGATGCACCCTGACCTAACCCATCCCTTCAGAGGAGGACTGGCACACCACCGTCCACACCCTTGCACCCTCCCAGCCTCATGGGAGGGCGGATCTCAGCTTCCACTTCCTGCACTCCTGAGGAAGTGTGTGCAATCCGGACCTCTGTTTCCAAGACAGGAAACGTAGCAGAATGACCTCTCTGCCAGTCACCAGCCGGCAGTGGGGCTTAGAGTCAATGCCAACCCTGCCCGATGCCTGTGCCCCCTCCCTTGAACAGCCAAGAAAGTAGATGTGAACGTGCTGCAGAAATGCCCATGAAGCGCCTGGTACAAAAAGGAGAATTTCTGAGCAAGTCCAGGAGATTGGAGGGGGCAGAGGTGGGAGGAGCAGGGGCTTAGGCACAAGGAGGGGTGAATTCCAGGCTTCTGTTGGGGAAGGCACCTCGTAGAGGGACCTCCCAGGAGCCTGTACCATCTAGCTGCCCAGACTCGCTGGTACCATCAGTGCCTCTAGTGTGTTAGTGTCCTTTTAGGTCAGAGTGCCACGTCGCTCACTTAGCTGCCCGGTGAGACAGAAGAAGTAAGGATGAGGGGTCTGGGACACTTTGTCAGCACTCCCATGGGCTGAGGGGCCCTTCTCCCGGCCTGGGTCTGCTCTGCCTACAGTGCAACTGCACTAAGTACAAGGCCTCTCCCCACCCGGGCCATGGTGGCCGTCATAGACCATCCTGGCTCCCGTGGCTATTTCCTCCTTTCACCTCAACACTGTGTCTTCTTTGGTCCCACCACACAACTTTTGTTTTTGTTTGTTTTTTGAGACAGGGTCTCACTATGTAGTTGAAACTGGCCTGGAACTCACTTTGTAGCTCAGGCTGGTCTCGAATTCACAGCGATCCTCCTGTCTCAGCCTCCTGAGTGCTGGGATTACAAGCATGCGCCATCACACCCGGCTCCATCCACCATGCAACTTTTGTAGTTAGTATGTGTTATCTATCTATGCAAAGCAAATTAAATCAGAGCTCACTGCTTAAACCCCCAGCATTTGCCATCCCGGTCTGTACTTTGGAGTCAGGTGTAGTTTGGCTTTGTGAGTTCCAAGCTTCTTCTCTGGGGGCAGAGCTGGCAAGACCTAGGTGCGGGTCCTCTCACCCGGGAAGTTGGTTCCTCCCCACCAGCCTCTGTGGCAGCTCACGAGAGTGCTGGCTTTCACACCTGCACCCTTCAGACCTGCCTGTCCCTCTCCCTCCACGCTATCCTCTTCTTCTGTCCCTTTATTTCCTGAGCATGTGAAACATGCTTAATTCGTGGCTTCCTGTTTGACGGGTCCACCTTCCCGAGGTTTCCATGGAGGCTTCTCTGTGTTCACTGCACTCCGGGGCAGTGAAGGCCTCTTCTGGGGGCTTCAGTGAAGGAACGGGGTTGGTCGCACCGAGAGCTCCCATCGCACTTTGTGCTGCTTCTGTCCTGGGTTCTGAGGCCACCACTGTCCTGTGCCTGGGTTTATGGTAACTCATCTGTCACAGGAGCGGTGGGGCCTGTGAAAGTCCCACTACTGAGCCCAGCACGGTGGCACACACCTGTGACCCCAGCACTTGGCTGAAGCAGGAGGATCACCACGAGTTCCAGGCCAGTCTGGGATAAATAGTGAGACCCTGTCTCAAAAAGAGAGAAAAAAAAAAAGGGAATCCCACAGTCCTGTCCAGTGGCTATGAACTCCGCAAGCACCGAGTCACACACACCCCCTCTTCCATGGCCCCAGTGGGTGCCCTCCACTTACACCTGGATGGGAGCCCTGTCCCAGTTTGGTCTCCACACCTGGACACTGCTGCCACAGGCTCCCGCTTTGCCTGGCTCTGCACTGACAGGCTCAGTCCCTCCGCGTGCATCCCACAGTCCTGTCCAGTGGCTATGAACTCCGCAAGCACCGAGTCACACACACCCCCTCTTCCATGGCCCCAGTGGGTGCCCTCCACTTACACCTGGATGGGAGCCCTGTCCCAGTTTGGTCTCCACACCTGGACACTGCTGCCACAGGCTCCCGCTTTGCCTGGCTCTGCACTGACAGGCTCAGTCCCTCCGCGTGCTCCCACAACTTGTCATGCAAGGCTGTGCGCAGTTCAATCCCTGGGAAAAAAAAAAAAAAAAAAAAAAAAAAAAAAAGAAGGGGAAGCAGCTTCACTTTCCCTTTGCCGAACCCCACTATGGTTTGAACATATGTGCCCTGCATGACCCAGGGTGAAACTTAATTGCTTTTGCAACCATTCTCAGGAGGACCAGGCTTCAAGGGCTCAGCCTCCCCAGTGGATCAATGCCACGCACGAAAGTGGTTTTTATTATAAAATGGCATATCACCAGGCAAGGCGGCACATGCCTGTGGTCCTGGCAATCCGAGAGGCTGAGGCAGAACTGTAAATTCAAATCCAGCCTGGTAATTTAGTGACTTAGTGAGACCCTGTCTCAGAAGAAAAACAAGTTCTGGAGATGGAGCTCTAACCTCAGTGCTAGAAAAAAAAAGAGCTTCCCCTACAAGAGGACTCAGTCTGAAGGCTCTCGCCAGACGCCAGCACCTGGATCATTGCCCCCAGCACTGCGAGGCAGTGTATTTCTGTTTTACATAAACCACCCACCCACCGCATCGGATCCCAGTGAGCACGGACCTCAGCACCCTCTGCATCATCCTGCCATCCGCTGTCATTGAGGAAACTGGGCTCGTTGGAGGAGTGAAGCCCCCTGCAGGCCAGTGTGTCCAAGTGCTTTCTGGGCACCACAGTCCTCAGCTCCCTGAGGCTAAGTCCGCAGTCGCTGTGTGCGGTGAGGCTGGGTGTGGCGAGGCACCGTCTCTCCCTGTCACGCAGATGGGAACCCTGGGCCTCATGGGGCTGTGGAGGTGTGTGGCTCCTCTCAGCTTCTGCACATACTTTAGGTGGAAATGCGGTCCAGGAACACGAGGGATTCTGCTCAATTGTAACCAGAAGGGAACCCTGCCCTTGGCCACAGTGCGGCTGATACGGCAGTGTGCCATGTGCCTCCCCCTGCTGCTGGTCCCCAGTGCGTGGTGAAGAAGGCACCATGCTGAGGCCCAGGTCTGTCCAGGTCGAGGTTCTGGTCCACATCTTCCAAAGGCCTTGGTGCTGCACAGTGCATTGCAGGGAGGGGTGCACACGTATGCCCGTGCATATGTGTGTATGTGTGCACTTGTGTGTGCATCTCCTCTGGTCTCTCCCTCTTTGTTCAAGGCCACCAGGTCTCCACCCTGGTCTCACTAAATTCTAACCACCTTCTCATGGCCCCACCGCTCAACCCCATAGCGGGAACACCTAACACCTTGAAGTGGAAACCACCCAACCAGGCTCACACTGGGAGAAAACCAGCCCTGTCTTTTCTGTCAAAATATGAATAAGAGTGTCTCCATCTTGAACTCTTGTTCACTCTAGGTTTAACCCCTTCCTCTTTCTGAGCACACTGAGTTTCAGAAAATGTTGAGTTTAGATTCCAGGAATACAGCTGACAGGCAAAGATAATTTATCAACAGCCAGGTACTCTCCATCCTCCCCCCCACCCACTCTTCCTTGCCCTTACTGACCCTGCCCTTCCCACCACTTAAACTAGCCAATCAGGACACTGTGAACCTTCAACCCAGACAGTAGGGGAAAAAGTCAGCTGCTTCTCACGCTAGGGATAAAAAGAGTCTGCTGTGCCGCCCTGAGCACCTGCTACCTCATGCTAGAATGTGCTCCCACCCTTCTGCACCTTGCTGTATTGCGATTTCTCAGTTTGAGCACTTTATTATCTGCACCAACAAATAAAGTCTGGGGTGTATCCCCAACAACACCATAGCACTGTGACAACAGGCTGGGCTTGGGAAGCTCTCCCTGATGCCGATGAGCAAGATCCAGAAATGAGGCTCTCAGAGGAGAGTGCTGAGTGGTGATCAGGAGTTAGATGCAAGCATCTGGCATACACTGGTCACAGCATACAAAGTTCCAGCTGGACAAGAGGAGCAAGTACAAGGGATTGCTGAGGGCTCTCTGGACTCAGTTTCCCCTAATGCCAGGTATCCCATGTGATGGGAGACAAGGCTGAGTGGGAACCAGCTCCAGGTCCTCAGGGCCCCTCTTCTCCCTCAGATGACATCTCAGCAGCTGCTGTGATGGTCCCACACTTGGCTGGGTGATGGACACTGTGTACCTGCTGTGATGATACCCAGCAGACCCAGGCAGGGCACAGCGTACAGCCCACTCGGCGAGGGGATGGCAGCGCCCCCTCTCCACCCTGGGTGCACAGTTGGGGGCCCTTCTTCCGGGGTGTGGCCTGTGGCTCCAGGCCCCACAGTATGAGTAGATAGGACTGGCTGGCTTAGGAAGCAATGCAGGAACAAGGCAGAGGTAGTGTGGGGGATGAGGGTGGGGAGCCGCCAGGAGCCAACACAAAGTGCTGACAAGGCCCAGTTGGAGGTGGTGGGATTGGCACTAGACCGGGCCGCTGTCCCCTGAAGCTCTGCCCAGGCCATTTTTCTATTGAAGTGTGGCTCCAACCACTTTATGAAGTGGGATAATCTAAGAGAAACCATTTTAAGATTGTATGACCTTGCCTGTTGGGCCTGGAACCTCAGGTGAGGCCTGTTACATGGGTAGTCCTCAGCACATCCTGAGTCAAGACTCAAAATTTCTCTCAGCAGGCTGCTCCCATGGCAGAGGACAGTGCCCCAGGATCCCATGCCCCTGCTGCCTGTGGTGCCACTCCTGGACCACCTTTCTACACAGAAGATAGCATGGCCAGGTGGGGGCCATGTTTCTGCACCCCAAGGACCATGCCATCCCCCTCCCCTCAAGCCCAGAGTCACAGGCCTCCAGCAGCAGCCTCTTATCCCCCGCATCATGCCTGGCATTGGTGTTCCCTGCTCACTTTTCTAGAGTCTCAGGTCTATGCAGGGTTGCTGTCCTCCATCTCCATGGACACGTCCATAGGGTGCTAGCAGACTAAAGGTATGGACATGAAGTGGGCCCTGGCTTGCCAGGGGTGTAGGAACCTCCACTTCTGGCCCCCAGGCATGCAACAAAGCTCTCCTCTGCACCCAGACTTCCTCGGAGCCACTGAGCACACCTCAGTGGAATCAGCATTTCTAAGCATCATTCAATCTTCATGCCATGGTTTGGTTTTTGTTTTTGGTACAAGGGATCAAACTTGGGACCTTGTACTTGCTAGGCAGGTGGCAGAACCACTGAGCTAAATCCCCAGCCCGATGCCATTGTTTGGTAAATTACACAATTATCTGAAATCTCTGACTACTCAGAATAAAAGACAAGGGTTCATCCACATGGAAGATTCTGTTGTCCCCAGGTATGGAAGGTTCTGCAGCTCCTCTGCAGAATGAACTGGGAGGGGACACATTCTGTCCTTGGCACAAACCAGTGCTTGCTCCTCCCAGGGGTGAGTGTCCCAAGAAGAGGCAGCCCTTCCTGTGGCCTGGTGAGGACAGCAGGTCAGGGATGTCCTGCCTCTCTCACTGGCTGGCCTATCCTGTGCTGGTGACTCAGGTCTTCAGGTGGTTAGCTGAGGCTGGGTGGAGGGATGCACAGGGTGCGTGTGTCCCCAGATGCAAGAGGGAGCGCTTGTGTGTTCAGAAGGGGACATCCCTCCCGCACTCCACTGGGAGCTTCCCACCTCAAATACTGTACACAGGGCAGGGAGCCCGTCCCTGCTGGGGCTGGAGAAAGGCAGCAACACACCATGCACAAAGGCCCAGGCGCAGGTGGGGAGAAGGTAGAGGAGGGCAGTGGCACAGACCAGGAGTTAACCTCAACTAAGATCTATGCTGTTCTGGAGTGGAGGGGGCAGGGAGGGAGTGACTTGGTGACCCAGGATACTTGGGAAGCGAAAGACCAGATGGGTCTGAGTGTGCTGTGAGGGGATGAGGGCGCCAGGGGTCTCTGCACTGAAGATGTCACACAGGGAAGGGACGACCAAGGAGGCCCTGGGGACTTGAGAAGGGGCTGGGCTATCAGGGGAGTCCAGCTAGGAGCTGTCTCTCCACAGGACTCGTGCACTGCGGTCCCCTCGATGTCACCAAGTCCAATCCCGACGCTGTATGGTTTTTAAAAACGCACAGGCGACAGGACGGGCTCCGGAGCTCTCCCGCTGGGGCTCAGGGTCACTGCTCGGCCTTTGCCCGCGCTTGGGGCCCTTGAGGTAGGGTAGGCCCGGGTAAGGCCAGCGAGAGCGCGGCCTGAGCCGCCCGCGTGGCCCTACA